GAAGGCCTGTGTATCTGGCCCACAATTATCTTGGTTGGTTAAAACCACTGGAGAAAATTAGTGAGAGAAATTGTGACTGCTTCTCTGTGGGCAGGTAAGATACTTGTGGTTCTCTCTCTCAATAGGAATGATTTTTCCCAGCTACAGGAATGTAATCTTTTCTGGTTTAAGTAAATAACTAAGGAGGATGCAATGAAGGTTTGGAAGCCTCATGTTTTCCTGACTTTGGATAACCTGTTTTGGTTTATGGCCATGTTCTCTCTCACTGATCTTCTAGCTGTGATGTGGGGTCAGTGATCTTCTCAGTGCCATACTCACCCAGTTTTCATGGTCACCCTTCACAATCCGTATGTGCAGCTCAGTGCCTGGCAGGGAATTATTTTCCAAAGCTGAGGACTTCCAGGCAGTGGTTCTCTCTCTTTTCAGCTTTTCCCAGCTCTGTCTTTTCTGTTTTAAGCAAAAAACTAAGAAGTTTTCAGACACCACACCTTCAGTACACGCTCACCACCTCTCCTGTTTTCCAACTCAACAAGGCACTCAACAAGGATTGCAGATACTGCTCATCGTGGCCTGGCTTTTTCTCTCCCTCTTACTCTGTCGCTGGCAGATAAAAATTCACCTTCATTAGTAGCTTCAAGGGCTCCCAGGGCCACCTCTAGCTTTCTTCCTTCTGGAGTCTGCCCCATTTGAAGAGAGATCACTTGTGGACAATGTATTCATTACACCACCTGTTGTTGTACACATTGTTACTCAGAAGTGCCTCGCACTCTGGGCAGTGTCTGGGCTTGGACACTCAAACCTTATCATAGAATCAGAAGGCTGCAGGCAACACGAAGAGGCAGGTCCCTGCAGCGCACAAAATGAAATAACCACATATGAGATCCCACTGTCTCAAGAAGGGGGACCATATCTCCTACATATAAGTGCAGAAAAGGAGGGCACCCTCACGCTGGGGGCATAGTCACCCATATGCAGCATTTGTATCACTTCTTTTTTTCTTTTCTTTTTCTTTTTTTTTTTTTTTTTTTTTTTTGTGGATAGCTACAGAGCCACAAGGAAGGTACTGACAAGCAGTTAAGGAATTCAGCTGCTGCTTGACTGTGCAGGACTTGGGAGCTGGAGGGCGAAAGTGATGCATGGAAATTAAGTTAATTTTAAACCGCAGGCAAGAGAAGAGACTTGCTAGCAGTTACTTAAGAGAAGCTGCTGACTGTTTAAATACCATCAAGAAGATTAATGTCGACCCACAGAACCACTGAAAAATTAGGGCTGAAAGGGACCTTGAAAGGTCAGACCAGTCCATCCCACTAACCCAAGCAGGATCACCTAAACCTCGGACATCCCTGACAGATGTTGCTTAACTTGATCTTAAAGCTCTCCACTCCCCAGGCAGTCTATTCTTTATTATCCCTGTCATTAGAAAGTTTTTCCTAACATCTAAATTGAGCCTTTCCTGCTGTGACTTAAGCCTTCTTTTTTCTTTTTTTTTTTTTTTCTTCTCCTCCCTCACAGACAAGGAGCAACGATTATGTCCTTTTATGTGCCTAAAGACTTCAGTTCTTTCCTCCTTTGGGTTAGAGAATTTCAGTTCTTTCAGGCTTCCCTGGTAGGTAATGGTTTCTCCACTTCCGCTTGTTCTCCTGCTCTCTACTGGGCTGGATCCAATTACGCCACATCTACCCTCAACTTATTTTCCATCACCTCAACACCATGACATAGCTGACTTGCATTCAGCTTTTGATCCTTTTTCTGAAGAATTGGTACTTAACCCATCACTCCCTCCTCTGTACTCTGGGAGTTCATATTGTTGCTCAAGAGTACGACCTTCCACTTTTTCCTTTTTCAGCTGCCTCCTGTTTCTTCCAGACCATTTCCCCAATTTGCCCACACAGTTTTTAAATCTAATCCTGTTTTTAAATCTGATCCTGCCCAACACTACCTCTATGGTTTTATTTCATGTGTAAAATATGAAGTCCTTATGTTTATCCTTTATAACAAAACAAAAAAAAATAATTATGCCAAACTGAGTCGGATGTAGGGTGAAACCCTGCTCAAAATCCACCTTTCATCTGAACAAGAAGGTGCTGGCAGTGGTGCCTGGGTGATGTTATTCAGGTGGGTTTGTACTCCTTTCTGGAAGTGTTCAAGGCCAGGTTGGATGGTGCTTTGAGCAGCTTGCTCTAGTGGAAGGTGTCCCTGCCCACTGCAGGGGAATTGGAGATAAATGATCTTTAAGGTCCTTTCCAACCCAAGCCATTCTATGATTCTACTGGAGCACGTTTTCAAGCAGCAAATACCAAATACCAAACTACTCTGACAGCCGCACTACATTACTGCAGTCAGGCCTGCCCTGCCTCTCCCCTCCACCTAAAGCCTCCTTTTTGTGTTGCTGTGCCTCTGTCCCAGCTGTCCTTGGCCCACGTGCTCCCACCTTCCCCCTTAGCGTTGCCTCCCCACTCACTGCCCAGCACCCAGGCCCTGTCTGCCAGTGGGAAATGCCCACTGGGACATTTCCAGGACAAGGGCTTGGGGGAGCGCCGCGGGACATAAATTAAGTAAATAAGTAAATAAGCAAATAAGCAAATAAATAAATAAATAAATAAATAAATAAATGAGGGCGGTAAAAATATCTCCCATTTTTGAGATGTCCCTGACTTTGCGGCCCCGGGCAGCGCGGCCCGCGGCTGCCCCCTGGCGGGGCGGGCCCGGCGCGGCCCCGCTCGCCCCTCGCTGTGTTCGGGGACACCGGCGCAGGGCTGACCCCAGCACACCGGCACAGGGCTGACCCCACGGGGACAAAAGGTGGGAGCAAGCTCGCCTAGAGAGTTAGCACCAAGTCCTGAAGGCTCTGGTCCATACGATGAGAGGAACCAGCTAAAAAATCCAGATCCAATCCCGCGGCGTGCTTGCAGAGGGAAGCCTTTCCTCCCAACTCTCACCTTTAAGGGGGTCTGGACAGAACACATTTTGCACAATCACTTCCACATCCCTGGAAAGTGCTGCTCTCGGTGCCTTCAAGGCTTTGTCCCAGATCTGTTGCACACAGGAGTCTCCCTCTCTGCAGCCTTCCTTCAGGCTGCCTGTCTTGTGCCTGTACCTGCTCCCCTCTTCACTCTGCAGAACCCAGATAAGGCCTTGTCACTGTTTCCCACTGAAGGCTCTCCTTAGCCAGGGAAGGGACATGACTAGGCTCTTTTGACTGTGTTCAAACAGGTGTACTTTTCTAGTAAGTCCACCTCCGCAAGCTCTCATGACTTGCCACGGTCAGGAGCAATGGCTCCTCAGCAGGGTTGAAGATGTCACCCCTGTACAGGGGACAGAAGTTTTGCTAGCCTGCCCAGTGGTTAATGCAACCAATGTAGTTGACAGGAACGATGGGAACATGGGTTAACCCATGAGGTTGCTAGATCAGGGAGAGGCAGAAAAGGTCAGGTTGTCCCTCAGCATCCACCCACCCCCACACCTTTGCCTGTCTGTTCTGCAAGTGAGGGCATTTCCTCACCCCTGGAGGAAGTCACAAGGTGGGAAAAGGGAAAGGCAATAAAACCAGCCCATGTCGCACCACAGCAGGTGGGCAAGAGACAGAATGTAGAACTACCTTTGCTCTCCAGCTAAAGTGAAATCTACCTCAGTACCATGCAGACTGCTCTCCATCCTGCTGCACTCAGGCTCTGAGCAGCATTTTTGGCTTACACATTAATCAAAACAGGCTGATCTCAGCTCATTTCTAGCTTTACCCAAACTACCTCACTCAGCAAGCATCCAACAGCACCTCGTGCCCCTGGCCCCACACTGTGCCCATCTTGCCAGCAAGCGCACCTGTGGCTTGGCTGCCATTCCCTGAAGCCTGCAAGGAGCCCACCTGCCTGATATGGATGTGCCTCCCAGCAGCACCAGCGATTAGCACATACAGGAGAGGACCTGGGCAGGCGGGCTGCACCCCTCCTAATTGACTGAAGGAAGAGGAGCACTTGAACATGCTCCAAAAGGAAGCACAAGCTCCAACTTCCCCACATTCATTTACTTGCAGAGCTTGCCTAAACCTGCAAGTAGGCGCCAGCTTGCAGACAGGCAGTTTGGAGGAAGCAGAGTCAGGCCAGCGCAAGTCAGATGGAAGTATTGACCCTCCTGGCGGTTTGGATGCAGACCTTAGGCTCAGCTTGAACATGTCTTTCTTCCCTTATACTCTATCTAGAAGAACTGGCCCTTCCCAGACATTATTTTCTTCAGCATGATTTATTCCAGCTACAAGTCCATTGTATCCTTCAACACTGCAAAACTCATCAAAGCAAATTCCATTTAGGCCCTACATCCCTTCCATACAGGCAATGCCTGGGGAGAAATCCACATACTATCAAATATCTTATTTCTGGTTTTAACACGCACAAAAAAATCTACCAAAACATTCTTTATTTTTCATATACATTGCAATAGTCCAGTTCACCTTAGGGCCAAGCTTAAAGCCAATACAAAGAGAAGAATCTTTCAAGAAAAACCATCCGCTTCTCAGGTGATGATGGCATTGAGATATACGAGGTACTTCAGTGACACACACCAGGAAGCTCTGGTACCAAAGGATGACAGTGCACAGACAAAAACCAAATCAAGCTTCCTAAACCAAATCAAGCTTCCTAAACCAAATCAAGCTTCCTAAACCAAATCAAGCTTCCTAAAGCAAGCAGACTGAGCAGGCTGCCTGGCAGCCATCCCTATGGTGTTGCATGCATCAAACCAGTGAGCTTTAAGTGCTATTTAGTGAGTTATCAGGAAGGAGCATTTGCAAAATGCATGTTGATGTGATCACATAACTGTGAGCTCCACTTTCCAACTCTCTGAGGAAAGGGGGCTTAGGTTAAAAGTGTCCCTGTGCTCATTACATTGGGTGAAGCCTGCTCAGCAGTGAATGCAAACAGTGCCATGGAACAATGGCAACTGCAGGTGCAAAGAAGAAAATACCACAGACGTGATAGTGCTTCAACGTTTATTTTCCTCAAAGAAACATAAAAAGAATCAAAACAGTTCCAAAACTCACAAAGCTTTAGAATACTTCACAATAGAGAAATACTAACTGTGTTTCCTGCTTAGACTGACCACCAGGAGGTCTTCTAATCAGGCCTTTAATGTCAATAGATGCATAAAGCGGTTTAATTTATTTCAGGTACAGACCGAGTGACAGGAGAAATGCATGGTATAGTTATTGCAGTTTGGATCAAGCCCAGGAAGTTCTTCTGGGAGGGATGCTCTGCTGCTGACGGGAAGCCACATTCATCAGGTACTGCTCACAGCAGGTACAGATGTCTGCAGTCAGCCAGCCTGCCATGGCCCTTGTGTAACAGCACAGAGGCCGTGCTAGGCAACGGGGCTCCAAAATAATGGGTACACTGGAGAGGGGAAAACAAAAGCAGTAAAGCTGACCCAGGTTTCTGTTAGAGGGCATGGTGCTCTTCCACCCTTCCTCCAGGCTGCTAAGTGATTTAGGTAATTGCATGAGTTCAAAAGAGCCCTCGGCACCACTAAGGAAGGCTACTAAGCATCAGAACACTTTCATTTACTGACACCTTCTCTCTATCGACAGTATGTCAGACAAAGGGCTAACGACTGTCTATGTCTGACCCAAGGTTGTGACTGCATCCTCATGCAGTAGGATTTCTTTTTGCCATCCTGAAGTATGACAGCAATGCAGCCTCTCAGACCTCCTCTACAGCACCTGCATTATAAGACAGACCAAACCACTGCCTGCCCCACAAAGTTAACTTCAATAGTGAACACTACCCCTGCTTTTTGGCAATTGAGGTACAAGCCTTTGAACCAGAAACTGCTGTGACTTTATTCTGGCTACATTAAAGAATGGTTAGAGAAGAAAGGAAAGCAAAGACACCAGTTCCTCCAGTAGAACACTTAACTGCTTTGGAAAGAAGAGAATATAGAGAAGAAACAACGTATGTTTTCAGTCTTAGATATTGCACTTATACACACATGGTCTGTCTTTTCCACTCAGAACTGTCAAAAGGTCTTTTTGGAATAGTTCATTTTCTGTGGGCAAAAAGGAAAGGGTATCTGTACATGTGTGGAGGGAAACTGAGGCATTACTCTTCAGTTAGTCGTACTTAAGACAATTAGCATATTTGATTTGTAGGTATATAGGGGCTACACTTGGGTTGCAGTGACAGACCTCCAGCTGTGGGGATAGAATATAATGCAGTCTAGAAATTCTTATACGATTGAAGCTATTGCAAAGGACTTTCTGTGTCTGGGCTAACGTGGACACTTCTAAATCCAAATCAGAAACCTGACAAAAAGGAAAAACTACTTCAGAGCACCTGTACATCCTCCCTTTTGGTCATCTAAAATCCATAATACTTCCAGAGAACTATACACCAGTTAGACCAAGGACTAAACCAGTCATTCAGCAGAACATTCAGCTGACCAACCTACTACTACATACTGCTGTCTGCATGTTTGAGATTTACATAAGTAACTGGTAATATCTTTCAAGGTAAAAACAGACCATCCCTGTCCCAGCTTACCCAAAATACTGCCCATGCTCTATTTCATGTAGCAACTCTGAGCTCTTCTGCTCTTCAGTAGCTGGGTCGTCCTCTCTGGAGAGTCTCAAAAACTTTAGGAAGTGAAGTGGAAGATGTACACATGTTCTGAAGGGCATTGACATCTAGAATCACAACACAAGTCACCTGAATTCTCAGGGAAACACATCCTCCTGCTTAGCTGGAGAATTTGCATGGCATGCAATTGATTTATTAGTGCACTTAAAAGGTAGACATTAATGCAGTGAACTTTCTGACCCTTGTATAAATAGATCACAGTGTAATCCCAACCACTTTACACAGGATGAAAGAGGAACCAGAGTTGTTTTAGCTGCGTATGACAAGAAATGTCTGCGGCACCCTCGCTGCTTTTGCACCTCATAATAGTCCCTCTTCTCTTTTCTTAGAAACAAGGTAGAGAGTAGATTTGAGGTATCAGTGGGGTGAAGGAAAGCTTCCCATGACTAGGTGAGGCACTGGGAAAACAGAAAATGTAAAAAACGCATGTGCTGTTGTACAGACTAGACTTGCCTTGATGCAGCAGTCACAGCAGACAACACTGAAAGAAAAAAGTTCCCAGCATTATCATTTGGGTAAAGCTCAGTAGATACTAATATGGCAGCTAAAGGTGACTTTCCCAAGTAAGTCAGAATTTGTGACCGTGGCAGAATCACTTGATGGCAAAGCAAGCAAGCTCAGAACTCCCCCATTCAGTTTGACAGCTCTCCTATTTATGGTTGTTTAATTCATCTGAAATGTGTCAGCATCCATAGCTTCAAGGCTTTCTCTGCAAATCCTCATTAAATTTCACCCAGCACCACCACCAGACAGTTGCTCAATTTCCAGTGGTTGTTTACTTGCTGCTTGTAATCAATTCAGTGCTTCACCACTGCTTCAAATAGATTTAAGTGAGCCTTAATGAGCCTGAAGTATCTCTCTCCCTCTCTCATGAACAGAAAATCTTTGACAACTAAGTGGATACAAGTAGGTCCAACTCCTTTCCCAGTCACAAGGTCTGGAGTTCTGCTTTTCAGTCCTCAGCAGAAGATTCTGGTGAAGACCCTTTCCCAGAACCTGTTCAGGCCCTTGTCTGAAGTTAGATCCAACCTTTAGAGCAAAATTCAGAGAGTGATCTCAGAGAAATTGAATTTAATACTGGCACAGTAAATTTGGTTATTGCTAGCTCAATACTAAGAATTAAAACTGAGATACCACTTCAGAGACAAGTTTTTCCACATCCTCTGCAGCTGTAGACACTTCAGCCTGGCTTGTGCAGTAAGACAAAACTGAAGGGCTCAGCAACCTGTTCCTATCCAGTACTACAAATCTTTGAACACTGGGTATTTTCAGCACTGTTCTTTCACTCTTTTCTCCCTCCTCATTCAGCCCTTTTGTACCAGCTCACCTGCTGCAGAGGTAACAGTTGTAAGGCCACTTAAGAAACATCTGCTTACGGCAGCTGAAACAGATCTGTGGAAAGGAAAGTTATTTGTGAATGCAAAAGGGAAATATCTTTGTACCAACAATATCCACTGCCTGTCAAAGAGCAAGCACATAAACCAACCTTCTAAAGGCTTTAAATCCATATTACAATAACAGAGGTCGAATAAAGGACAGCAAAGACACAGGAATTAAAAGCTAAAAAGGCAAAACAAAAATTCTTACTTGTAGGCCAGTGTTTTTATGATGCAGAGGTTTGGGGCAGCTGCCAGACAACAGGAGTTTAAAAAAAGGCTCTGGAGCAAACAATAGCTGTATTGTGCAAGAGTGTAACAGTAGCTAGTTAAGAGAGAGGGAAGAAGAGAGACATTCTTTGAGGTAGACTGCAGCAATCCCAAAGAGATTAAATCAGGGCAAATTTGAATTCAATCCTGAAGCAAAAAATGAGTCATAAGGAAGCTGATGAGTCGCTTGAACTTTATAAAAAAGAGCACATTCATACACAGCTGGCAGTCAGAAGTGATATTATCTTGAGAAGTAGAGCTTGAGAAAGCTAAAAAAACTTCAGCAGCAAGAACACAAAAGGGGTAAGAGCCATTTTTGAATAGGCATAGAACAGGCAAGTTAAAGCAGGGTTGGTAAGGGGAGATAAAAACAAGGATTCAGTCTCAGGAGCATCAGACAGACTGTGGAAGTAACATCGCTTTGCTAGTAGAACCCTTTGACTCTGTCTGTACTGCTAAATAAATGAGGGCAAGAAGCTGACCCATAAGCCCAGTAGCACAGACTTCCTCACATCTGTGTTGCAAAGGGCCTGTACTCAGGACATCTGTTCTGGAGGATTGGCTGCAACACCCCCTCTAAAGGAGACTCAGTGACTAAGGCAGGAGTCAAGAAATGTGAACAGTCAACAGTCCTGTGCTGCAGGTCATTCTCTGTCCCTCTCACCTCCCCGACCTTTGTGTCACTGAGCAAGGTGGTTTGAGCCAGGTCAGCTCAGGTGTGCGAGCCTCAGTTTCACTCTTTAGCAGTACCAAATCCCAGCTATTTACTTCAGGATTTCAGAACTGCCCAACACTCATGGCAGTCCAGCTCTCCTAGCATGGAAATCACAGACAAGAAGTAACAAGCAAAGGCTGGGTTACTTTCTAAGCAATTTACACAGTTTAAGCTGGATTAAAAGCCATCACTGCACAAAGTACTAAAAACTGTTTCCAGCCTAGGGCCAAACTCAGATCCGCTGTTAGGAACAGGATAAGTTGAGGCAAAGGGCACCTCAGCAGTTCAGCACTGAGGGCCATGAAACCAACCAGCTTTTGAAAAACCAAGGATAGCACAAAGAGAAGAGAGGAAACATACCTTTGCTCTTAGAAAGACACCATCACTACCTCTTTGGAGGAAGTCTTGCCCTCCCAGCACCTTCTCTGAATATCTGGTTCCAATCAGCTCAGCGATGGTTGGTGATGGCCACTTGGTAGGAAAGAGACAGTCCTGCTGAAAAACAGAAGTTAAGCATCAGAGAAAGCTGAAGAAAGCAGCTATCTGGGGAGGTTATCCTCAAAACTGGGTCCCAAAGGCTGAGGAGCACTTGTCTCCAAAACCCAATTGTGCTCGTGATGGGGAATATCAGTTGACTGTTTGATGATGCTAGCAGAGAAACTACTACAGGGGGTTTAGTGGCTGCTACAGTTTTCAAGCAGATTCCTGACACTTCATAAAGGAAGCAGGTCCATTGGTCACCACAGCAGCTAATACCATCTCCAGAGCCAGTCCTTGGGGAGTTTTACCCTTTGGAACAGACTACAAAACAGATGCCACCCTGGCCCTCCTGAGTACAAGATCCCTTTCCACAGCACAACACTGTCTTGCCTTCTCTTTCCCAGGAATCACTGGCCCCACACAAATGGCAACTATGGTTTGGTGGTCTACCAGGAGAGACCACCTGCTCTTATCCCCAGGTGGGGAACCCAACCCACCTGCATCCCCCACCAAACTGCTGAACAAAGAGCTCTAAGAGTCCTCAGGTCAGTTTAGAGACTTGAAAAGTTAGGCAGGGGGGGATGCAAAAGGAAAGAAGGAGGAAAGGGCACAGCACACCTTGTCAGGGCAGAACAGGGCAAGGCCATAATTCAAAAGGTTGCACAGAAGCACACAAATCCCAGCATTTCTCTCACTACCATCATGCAGAGCCTGATGACTTCAATACCGCATACATTATACATTTAAAAGTCACTAATGCTCTCCTATCTACAGTTTGTCAACTGCTTGTTCCCTTTACTGCAGCTTAAAGGACACATGAATGTAGCAGAATCTAGAAAGAATGAGGGGAGATGGAGAAAGCAGGACAGTCCTACTGTCAACTACAGTCTCTTGAGGAAGTTTTGATGGACATTTTCAAGTAGTGCAGAGGTATTTTTTTCTTCTTCTATGGGAAACAACTTTATTTCATATCATTCAAACTGGGAAGGCACTGCAAGGACACTGCAGCATTCAGTCCTCTCTTAAGCTGTCTCCAGTGAGAGAACAATATACCAACTTCAAATCAGCATACAATATGTCCCAAGATAAAAACCACAGAGCATGCTTGGTGATTACAGAAGGATCACGGTGCAAGCTCTAGTCATTACAAGATCTATCAGACCAGGGCTGCTTGCTGACATGTTGGACTTACAAGTTCCTTGCTTTGAAGGCCTGTCTCTAAAGATTTGGACCTTCTTCTGTAAGGAGGCAGCTGCTGTTGGACAGTATTCAGGAAACTCTTGGGTTTAACATCTCCTGGTGTGGGTGGACATGGAGGACACAGGGAATTTGCAGTGCAACCTGGATAGGAAGAGAGAGTTTTAGGGTGCAGAAAACCAACTGGCAGCTTTTAAGTATTCATCCTAAAAGTTGAACACTCAGGAGCACTACACTGCCCTCTGAAGGTTGCAAGGCTTACGTCTCTCCTCCTCTACCCCATCTGCTCAGATCACAAAAAGGAGAGGTTACAGTAATTATGCTTGTCAGTAGGCACTGATGAGGCTTCATTAGCACCATTTAGTTTAATGAAATCAAGTGGTGCACTTTCTACTTGAATATTCAAAACATTCATTTAGCTTTTACTGCAAATTCCAGTTAGGCCTTTGGGGACATGCTATCATTGTTTTGAAGCTGCAGGAACTACACAGGCTTCAGTCAACTGCAGAGAAATGGTTTTCTAAGGGCACCTCCCCAGACTCTTTATTTAGTGTTGGAGCTTCTCTTGTAAAGTAACTCCATGTGATCAGAGTGAAAAGAAAGTGTACAGTGAACCCAGCCTAAGGTTTTAGGAACCCAGTAGGCCACTGACTATACTTTGTCACCTGGTTTGGACATGCAGCTGGAAGTACACTGACCTGTGCTGTTGTAGGATACTAGTGATGACCTGCTGGGAGAAAGACAGGCACTGTCAGGCAGCTCGGGAGTGGTTTCCTGTAGATCAGAGGACAGGATGTTCATAAGCTGCAAGCAAGAGACACTAAGCCCACTTCATCAGAAGTACTGCTGCTAAACAAAACCAGGATACCCAGGACTGACCAGAAATGTTCAAGGTTCACTCAAAAGTGAAGCAAAGAAAGCAATCAGTGGAGTACATTTAGGAAATTTCTATTACTTCTTGGAACATAAAATTAACCCCCCTCTGCACTGCACAACCATGAAGCTCCAGCCAAGTTAGTGAAATTTCCAATTCATCTGCTCTCTCTCTCTCCCAAGTTCAATGTGGAAACTAACACCAAAGTTTCATCTGTTCAGGAACCAACTTTGCAAAACCCTCCCTAAGCAATCCATGGAGTACATTGGAACCATATTGTTGGCTGCAGCTCACACATAGCAACATTGGAGAACAGTTCAAGAGACTATGACTAACCCAACTCACTAACCCAACTCAAACACAATGCTGTATCTCAACAACATTGTTTCTACCTTCTCTAGAAAAGCAGAAAACAAATTGGTCTCCATATGAAGGTCCTTCTAGTTTAGCAGTAATACATTCAGCGACAGGGTTCTTGAACGCTGAACATTCCTCCAAGTAGCACAGACAGGGGGAAAAATATAGCTGAGATTTTCTGCTTTTATTAATTCATATCCGTTTTCCTCAGTTAAGCAACTGCATTTCAGACAGAAATATTTACAGAAAACAGATTCCTGTTTGTATGCCAGAGCATCTGTGCTAGACATGATGTTTTAGGGCTTAAATTCTGTCCCACAGAATTTCTGAAAATGTTGAGACTGAATCCCTGAACCAAGTAAGTCAAGCTTTTCATGATTGAGCCAGGAGTAAAAGAACCCAAAGACTATGTATTGTGGTTTATTGAGGAGTGGTGCTCCCAAAATAACTCCCCAGACAGAAGAGTGGGAATTCACCAATCAAGTTGCTTCTTAAAAATAAGTAATAAAGTTTTCCTTCCATGAGCTCACACACCATGTGAAACCAAAATACATCAATACACCTAGCATCAAATGCCTCACTGTGAGGTAAGATTGGCTAGACTACCATGCATATTAAAACTTCTGCAGGATCTAGTTTTAAGAGACCAGAGCAGGCCTTGGTTCTATAGAATCATAGAATATTCTGAGCTGAAGCACAAGCACATTCTTTGCACAAGCAAAGTCCAACTCTTAGCCCAGCATAGCACCATCCCAAGAATCACACTGTTGTCCAAACACTTCTTGAACTCTGTCAGGCTTGGTGGTGTGATCACTTATCTGGAATCAGTGACCAGCCACCCTCAGGGCGAAAAACATTTCCCTATTATCTAACCTAAACCTCCACTGACACAACTTCAGGCCAGTCCCTCAGGTCCTAGCACTGGTCAGAAAGAAGGGATCCCTTATAGGCTGTACCTGTGGACTGCAGTCAGGCCACAAACACAACTGTCTGAATATGATACGTTCTTCCGTAGAGGAAAGAAGTTCAGTGAACCCAACAGTACCACATTTGTTCACTTTTGAGACAAGATTTCCTACGCTAGGATTTGTTCCTGACCTTCATGTGTGTGTTTGCAGATCTAATGCCTCTCCATCGTCCTTTCACTTAAAGCCTTACCTGAACTCCTGGTCCCAGCTGCTGTGTTTTAGTGTTGACAACTTTAAACTCAGTACTGGCATCTTGGAGAGTTAAAAAACTGTCACTTGGAGAGTTCAAGGCTGTACTTGGTGTCAAAAGCATTTCTGCAGGGGAGAGGGAGAACAAAAACCTCCATACCCACAGACTAAATGAGATATTGTGCTGGGACAAGAAAATGACAGATTTGATACCCACAGATCAGAATTTGAGATTAGGCCAGACTTTGTCCTGGAACTTACATAAACTTTTAGTGTTAGGTGATGGTCAAAATTCTGTCCTCTCATTTAGTGGACAATTTTGAACATCCTTAAAAAAATTAGGTAAGCTGAACCATCTTTTGAGTCTTAATTAGCCACAAACAGTATTTCTAGAAATAACTATTCTTATGCCATACCACCTCTATCACACAAAATTTGCATTGCCACCCCCCTTGCATTATAAATGTTATTGAAAAGATAAGTGGGCTTTCATTTCAAAGGCCAGCCATTATTTTGTAGCAGGTACCTTTGGGCCTGCTCCATTTTTCCTGTGCTGCTGCTGACTGAAGCTTCTGTGGTTGTTTTATTTCTGCCATGGGCTGTTCATGCCAGCTGGTCTCACATGGCACACACTCTTTCAGCTGCCTCTCCAACACCTGCAGGCAAAGCACAGCACCACAAAGAGCCAGTGGATAGAGCAAGGAGACCAGTGGTGACAGAACAATCCATCAGCAATGGCACTGTTTTACAAGTGCCTGTCACTCAGGAGGGCACTGGGCCCTGCACATGAAGCACCCTCCAGCACTGTGCATAGCAGAACACTTCAGTGACTCTCAAATTTGAAATCGAGAACTCCAGAAGTCCTTTCAGGACCACAAAATGTTCCAAATGAAAGAAGCAGTGGAAGAAGTAGGTAAACTGATCATCTTTCTACTATGAAGATGTCAACTCCCATTTTCCTAGGCCCTGGGTTTGGCAGGAGGGGTTGTTCAGAAGTCAATATACCCCCCTCCTAAACACAAACCTGTAGCTCAGGTATTACCTCTATGTTCCTTGAAACTGTCCTGTCAGCTCCAGAATTACCTTTTTTTGCTATCACCAGATGCAGCATCAGGCCACCTACCAGCTTTAGATGAGGCTTGGGAGCAGCTACATCAACTTTGGGATCCTTGTGTTTTTGCTCAACCATCACCTGAAGGAGGAAAAATAATGCTTAAGAAATAGTTCTTTTTCTACAATAATTCCTTCCTCCTGGTCTACCCTGCCATTCAGCGGCACATTGAACGGTGCAATTCAGGATTTGGGAATGGGGGAGGTGGGAATGGCACAAAAAAAAAGAGTTGGGAAGTGTAGAATACTTATGTGGGTTCTCAGTGGAGACAGACTTGCCCATGGCAAGCTAGAGACAGTCAGAAGTGCTGCACAGCCTTTAGAGGCTTCCAGTCCCAGCAGCTCATGAACTGTTCATAAGCTGCTGGAGAACGCTGTACTCAGATTCTAACGTCCCAATAAGCACCATGGTCATATCATATTCATCAGTGAGAAGGCTCCAGGGAGGAGAGCAATGGAATGGGTTAACAGAACTGCAACAAGAACTGCAGCAGCAGGCAGCTGTATGCATAAGCTAGAGTCCCAGAGATTGGCTTACAGCCCTACATAAACTAGGAACAATAGCGAGATAGAATTGCAGGGCAGATATTCATGTGAGACATCAAGTCCTGTGCTTGCTGCAGAGGGGAGAACTGACAAAAAAGTCAATTGCACATGCATGTCTTTAGCTGCCTTGTTCATGTATTCTTATTTTGAGGCTATGCTCCCTGTGTGTACAACTTCAGAACATGTGGGAGTGCAGGTAGAACAACACTACAGCTTCCCACACTAGCTGTGCTTTCATTCATTTGCAAATTAGACCACTGTTTGCTAGAGAAGCTTTAAAATAGCTTTGCAGATGGGGAAATCCTAGTTTAAGAGCCTTCACAAAGACCTGAGCACTCTGCTTTCTTTGAGCATTTCTGTCTACTACTCTTCAAACATGTTTGTGCTTCTTCTCAAAAAGAAAAGTGTGTGGGGTTTTGTTGTTTTTTGTTTTGTTTTGATTTTTTTTAAAAGAAGAAAAAAGGGAGAAAATCAAGGCTCAGAGCATTCTGCCACCTTGAGTTACAGTTCTGTACTGCAGTGCACTGATATACAGGATATACAAGTGTACACAAGATATACAAGGAACACAAGTAGTTATGATGCACTGTCTCCTTTCCACTACTATTCATTTATATGTCAATAAAGATATTATCTCCAAAGAAATGACATAGCCTTACCTGGAGGCTGGAGCCACAGTCAAGCCAAGCAAGAGCTGGGGCTTTATAGAGGTGCATGGTTTAGCTGAAGCTTATAAACCTGCTGCACTCCAGCAGCACCAACAAAGAGGAAAAAAAAGCTGATGTCTAGTGTGGTATGCAAAGTTTTCACTTTTTGTAATACTGCTTTTTATTACAAGAAGAGTTGTGTCTCATCTTCTGCCAAGACGTCTGTTTGCAAAGCACGCCAATGCCACAAAGCCTTATGCCAGTGTTTTAGATCTGCTCATCATTCCCAGATCAAGCTGCGGCAAGCAAAGAGCATCACAAGCCTTTAGAGACATCCCAGACATTCTTGTAGCTGGTCATCTTCACCAACCAAGTGGTGAAGTTGGAAGTCACTGCCACTTGAGTCAAAACAGCAGCTGCCCCTGGGAGGGGCTTAACTTTTTTTACCCTGACAAAACTCCTGCAGTAGCTCAAGTACACTGCCTAGAGGTGTCTGCCTGAGGCTGAGCAAAGGATTGTCTCAAAACTGCTTTTGCATACACTCCAGAACATCTGGGACATCTGGGAAGGCAAGGGAACTAGTAAGAGATGCTGCCAAGCATAGCTCAGCCAAAGGAGCCTGGAAGGACATAAGTGTCCAAGGTGGAAAGTACAAGCAAGCAAGAGTCTGTTCCATGAAACTTGTGTGCAGGGCTGAGTATCTGCTCCAGGGAAAGGACTGGCTGGCCCCTGGAGGGAGAAGAGGTTTTTTATTCGGCTTCATGAAACCGTGACTACCCCTGACTTACAAAGTTACTGGAAATGAAGCACTTCGGTGGAAAAATAGGGGATCTAATGTTGAGTTGCAACTGAGAGGGATACCCAGACACTTCTGGACTTGGAAGTACCCTTGAGAAAGACAAGCTTTTGGAGAAGAGGTCTCAACACATCCTGCTTAGACATGAAGCAGAGCAGATGTTTTCAAAGTCACTCACCTTCCGGAGGGTGTACCTCTTGTGCTGAATATCATCCAAAAGCAATTCAAAGGGAGAGCGGACACGTTCTTTTGGAGCCACACAACGCTGAGGTCGCTCACTGGCCTTGTGCAGCCTCACACCAGCCTGCAGTTCACTGATGACACTGGGCCACAGGGGTGCCTCGGAGAAACCAGGAAGGGCCAAGTCAACAGCTGGCTAGAACACTGAGCAGCATCCCCTCCCTCCAGGTAACAGGGCACACTCAGAAACTGAAGTTATTCAGAAACACACAGTTGTGTCCTTAACACCCCCCTTTACTCACTTTCAGATGACACTACAGTACCAGAACAGAGAATTGCTTCTCTTTGCAGAGATTAATTTACAATGAGGAAACTGGGAGCTGGCTCACCAGGCTCATTCCCAAATTTAGTCATTAACTTTATGAATGTATTTCAGCAAAACACAGTTTTTGCTGCCAGGTAGCAAGACCCATTTGCTTTCTGCAAGCGCTCCAGGTGCCAGTGTTTTCATATTATTGAATTCTAGCAAACACTGGGAATGAAATCCCAAATCTCACCATTAAAATCCTCTGAATTTTCAGAAACCAAGGGTTGAAATGCCCACAAACAAAAGAGGAAGACAAGTGGGAAGGGGTCTCATACTTCACAGAAGCATATGTTAGTAGTCTCAGCCTGGAGACACAAGCTAAAAGCTCTGACATCTGCTCATCCTCTTCCTGTATTAGTATCTGAGGATGCTCAGGCATGCAGTATAACCCAACAAAGACAGGATAAAAAGTAATCAACTCAATAGCATGTTTAGACAACATTGTAATGGAAGTGCTAAATCAACAGCTTATCTGGATCCCAGTGGCAAATTCAGTAAGAGCAAGTGATTGTATTATAAACAGTAAAAGGGAAGCAAAACATTTCAGAAAACTGCCTCAGAACAAAGTTTCTGACTTAGACTCCTCTCCCTTTTCCACTTACAGCATCTTCTCTCAACTTATCCCTTCAGATATCTTGGTATAATATCAGAAGAGTCTTATATAAGCTCTGACTGATGACTGTCTTCAAGGAGAGAGATTTTTTGTTGGATTGCTTTAGCCTGGCTTTGGTACAGTCATACCTCAACTCCAGAGAACTAGAACTATCAAAGAGTGACCCCATACAAGCCATATCTCCAAGGCTATACTTAATATTGTGTGGGAGAACACACAAAAGTCTCTGGGCAAACCCATCAGTACTAGAGACTTTTGAAATAGCACTCATTTGACTGAAAGACGTGACCTGAAGAGAGACTTCTGTACTATAATATTGCCACATTAGTTTTGGAACAAGAATTGTCTTCAGCTGTCCATTTCAGAGCAACTTGCACACCCAAAACATTTTTCAGATGTTGGTGACATCATCATCACTCATACTTTTCTTTCCCTACTGACTGGATCACTGCAGTTATTCTACTTGGGCCATCCCATGTAGCGTCAAATGCCACCTAAACTTCCCACACCTGTGCAACACAACACAAAAATGGTACAACACCCTAAATCCATTTCGATAAATTCAATAGATTAGCAGTAAACTGTGTTTCTAACAGGTCTCACTGCTTAGATTTCTAGGTGAATATCAACTTGTGACATGTACAGATAAGCTGTGCTGAAACTGTACAACTCTGCATGCTGTCAGGTTGTGGTCTGCATTTCAGAAGACCTGTTTTGTAGCAGTCAACAAAAAAAAGTGTGGCCCATAGAGAGCATTAGCTTCTTAGCACCACTCAAGGCACCAGCTCTGATCTGTGGGGTCCCAGTGAAGTTACCATCCTGGTTATTTTAAACTCAAGAGTTTTTCAGAGCAATGCAATCAACTGATGCTTAGGGACTTGGAAACTAGAGGCAGAGGATTTGCAACAGGCATCCAGCTTTTGGAATTCATGTCTCCTGAAGGAGCAGAGGCCAAATACACTGGCCTTCAGGCCACACAGCAAAGCCCATGTATTTATTCATGTATTCCCTGCAGAAAAGAGCTATAGCAGTTGATGAGTTTGTGGTTTGAGATAGCTTGCCAGTTTATTTTAATAGATCACAAAATTGAGAATATGCCCAAACACACATTTCACAAACATTTTCATACGAATAGTTTGAGCACGCTTCAAAGCAAGTGCTATTTAGACAAAGGGAGAGAGTCCACGAGTCTCTTGGGGCTTGCTGTTTGCCTCCACAGGCTCCAGACTACAGTGCATTTGTTTATGCTGGGCAGAGCTCCAGCCTGAAGGAAGAGCTATTTGTTTCTGATTGAGCCCTGACTGTGCAGGGTCTTGAAAAGAACAGAGTAAGTTGCTTTCTCTGCCCCAAACATACAGTTCAAATCTATGGAAGGACAGAATGCAAGGACAAGAAAGGCAGTGAGCCCAAGGTATAAGTGACATCTCCAGCCTCATCTCCCTTCACCCCTTTGAGCTGCTGGAGCTGCACAGCCACAAAGATGGACAGTGCTACTGGCCTTCAGTCCCTGCCAGTCCTGAACCAGCATAGACTCCCCATAGTAAAAGTGAAATAGTCCACCCCAGTTCTACCGATAACAGAACAGTTTTCTGGGATTTTTCAGTCCAGCTACAAGAAAGGAACAGATTGCTTTTGGCAGGTGGCAGTTCCTGCCAAGAGCTGGAGTTTGGGGCTCAGCAGCAGAAAGAAACAGCCTGAGTAACTGCTTGCAGACACTTACTCCAAAGACTGCCTCCAACTTCATTTTTAGAAGTGGTTTAAGTTGGACCACAAAGACAATATTTGTGTAGAATAAATGTCCACGTGAGGTTGGCATATGAAATAGTTTAACTTCAAGTTTACTCCCCAGCTTGTTTTGCAGACAAGTTGTTAACTACTTAAGCTCCTGAAAAAAACTAAGCAGTTTAATTTGTGTTCAACCTCTACTTTTCATAGAAAAATCAGTGGAAAGCTGAGAGAGCTACAGCTGAAAAAAAACACCCAAGCCCATAATGAAGAAATTAAATCCCTTACACCACAGTTTTTCTTCTTTTGAAGGGGATTTTCCACCAAATCTTCCACATCCATTTTTCTCAGTCGCTGAGAAGCAAGCACATGAGGTCATTGCACTGTTCAGTGATTTCCTATCTATCCAGTATAAGTTACTAATGTTTATCTGAAAAGCCTACAAACCCCAAACACCTAAACTTGTAAATGCTACAAAATAAAAGGTGCAGAGACAGAAGCCATTCCCATTGTGAAAACAAACCATCTACATGCTCCACTTTCAGTGCAATGGGAAGGTTACTTTAGAACTTGGTGAGTCAGTGAAGGTGGGGGGAATAGCAGCCAAGGGGTGATCCCATATGTACCTCTTTGGAGGTTTGGATGATAGTTACAAGCTTCTGAAGTTCCATATATTCAGCAAACAGATTCCTACAGGTCATTTCATAATGTTTGGTAGCCTCAGAAGGCCTGGGCAAGTGCTCCTCACAGGCCTGAAAGAATTGCAGCTATTTGAAAGAGATCTTGAAATGAAAAAAAAAAAAAAAAAAAAATCCCATGGGAGGATGGAGTAAAGCAAGATTCAGTTTCCTCGATCCATGGTTAAAAATCATCTTCCTCATAGCCCCTTTATATTTTTTTCTATTGCAGATACAGAGGAACAAAGAAGCAAAACGTCCAATCATATATGTATGATAATGGAAGTAACTGTGTAATTTATGTATGTTGTCTTCCACAGAGTGTGCTCTGGAATAAGTACCTGAAAGGGGAAGCCTCCAGTGCAGACAAAACACAAAAACCCACAGCAGGTGGAGTCACTTACCCTGTCCTTTTCCCCAGCCCCGATCAGACAGAGGGATGGGAAGTTTCTCATACCTTTAAATTCTATTTGAGTAGCAAGTACCTGTTTGAGTTGAAACATTGAAATTCCAGCCCTTGCAGAAACTGAATACTACAGACAAGTGACTTTTTTCAATATCCATAGTCTTCTGGGTATTGAATTTGGAGACTACGTACAGAAGGACTTTGTAGACACAGCTGTGTGAGAGCCATGTGTAGTCTTCCTTCTTAATTCTTGTTCATGGGCACCTGCAAGTACCTAAGATGGTATTGCCTTTTCCCTCTGATGTTAAAGCCACATGCTCCCTCTCTGTTCTCCCACAATCTACCCAGCTTTTTCCCAGAAATGGACTTGCCCCTTGGTTAACTGCACTGTTCCATCAGCTCCTCTAAAATTGCTATATTTACTAAGTGGGAATAAGAAAACCTTGATAACATCCTGCAGGGTGACTTCTGGTTTAATTGGCTCATCATCCAGTTTCAACATGAGGCACAGCAATTTCTCCAAAGGACCACTCAGTTCTCGCTCCAGTTGGCTGTCAATTCCCCAGTCCAGGGCTTCATAGATCACCACTCCCAAGTATTCCAACAGCTGCAGACAGAGACCAAGAAGCAATGCAGCACAAACTGGAGAATGCCACAGCTCTCAGTTCCCAGCCATGCAAGTACCCTCCTCTGCCCCATCTCCTGAGCTGGCCTTTACTAAGCAGGATTATATCTGCACACATAACGAAGGTAAAGACACAAGCTTACCTTGTCCTCTGACTGCTGAATGCTGCCAACATCTGAAAGGGAAAAAAGAGGGTTGGTGGAGAAAGACAACTGCTTAGGCATTGACAAACAGCTTTTAGAACCCCTTTCAAGAAGGGGAAACAGGAAGAATCCTTGATAACAAGGAAACTAATTCCTCTGGCAAAAGTCAGTCCCACGTGGGGAAAGTAGACCTATATTTGGGAAAATCCTATGTTGCTGGAAAGCAACATGGGATGCTCTTCTTACTGTGACCACTAGCCTCAGACTAATGGCTGCTGCATTTTTGGTTTTGGTGGTTTTTTGTTTGTTTGGGGTTTCGTTATTGTTGTTGTCTGCTAATTGATATCTAACCACAAGGAAGGCATGGGATCTTTGTCTTTATCGTTAATGACCCACTCTAATCCCTGAAGAGTTAGCCTAGCACTGACCTCTGCGGCAGCCCAACCAAGCCATATGTAACACAAACTTGTTGCCACTTGCTGGCTGGACACAGTGACAGTAAAAGGGAAACTGCAATCATAAATCCACTGTGAAAGTTACCATAACACAGGTAAGAAGATGAAGGTTGGAAGACAAACAGAGCAGGACAAAAAATAAAGCTTCAGATTACTTATTTCAAATAAAGTAAGTGGTGGAAAGCTTTTATCCCAGCTATTCCCTAGAATTAAATGACTCGATAGAGCACAACTAGAGAAATTAGTAGATCATACATCTGTATAACCATTCATCTACAGTCTTCTGAAATAAAGTATAGGAAGGAGAATAGCTTCATAACAATATACAGAGAGAGGAGAGGGGAAAAAAACCCAAACATAACCAACAAAAAAAAGCAGAGGAAAAGAAAATTTCCCTACTTTGTCCCCACATTTCAGCCTGTTAAAAGAACAGCCCTTGGCATCTGCAACTACCTATGCTCTTACCAGACTTGTGGTAGACCTTGAAGGAAGCAGTACCATCAGCATGGATCAAGATGCTCCCACAACCTTTTATGAATATAGACTGGAGTGGTGGGCACAGCTCCCCAGCCAACTGCTCCATTTTACAGCAACACTGAAAGCAGATGGCCCAGGCTTGCTCCTCACTTATAGGATGTTCAAAACACCTCAAAAGCTCAGCTAGAGAGACCTTTGTGATCCTCTGCTCACACCTTGGCGATTCCATTTTTACTTTCACCTCCACTCTTAGTCTAGGAAGCTTAACATTCCCCTTTCCGGGACAGGCAAGTGCTCACAGCAGCCTTTTATCAGTTCTGCCTCTTGGTCTGCTCTTATCTCTCTTCCCTACAGGTGCAACCATTAATGCCAATCTTTGCTCTATCTTTTTAAAAGGACATCACTTTAATCTGTATTTGTACAAGATTCTGTAAAAGAAAATAGAAAGCAAATGGAATCAGGAAAGATAAGACTATACAAGAAAATGTGCCCGATTTAGCTCCATTGTTCCTAACAAATATTTTAATTGGAGTACCAGTGCTGGCAGTTAGGAAAGTTCAACTACAGGCAGAAAGGGAAAGAGGCGGGAAATAATGTCTTTACTTGGGGAGGAGTACTCATAGAAGACCACAAAAATTCAATCCATTTGGTAGGAAACTATTCTAACATCATCTGTTCTAACAACACTAATAAATAACAGCAATGAATTCCATGGGGCACCTGCATGCACCACAGGACCCACTTCTGCCTGGCTTTGGGCCCTTTGTCCCTGCCACGGCAAATCCCGGGAGCGGGGACAAACGCATGCAGGGACCAGGATAGCCAGGTGGGCACCCAGGGTATGGGCAGCAAGGCCTGTCCTTGTTCAGATTGTTGATATCACAGAATCACACAATCAGCTGGGTTGGAAAAGACCTCTGAGATCATCAAGTCCAACCAAGTCAGCTAAACTGTGGCATGTCCAGTCTTTCCTTGAACACCTCCAGGGACTGTGATTCCACCACAACCCTGGGCAGCCCGCTCCAATGTCTAATCAGGGTTTTTGTGAAAAAATTCCTCATTATGTCCAACCTAAACCTCCCCCTGGCAGGGCTTAAGACCATGTCCTCTCATCCGGATGGCAATTGCTACTCGTGTGAAGCCTATTCCCAGACTTTTTTGCACTTTAATGGGTGCGTGTGAGACACGGGAGGGCGCAGTTGTAGGGCCCGTGACTGGGGTCAACCCCGGGCTCTCCTGCAACGCTGGCTACCAGCAGCCCCAGCTCCCCAGGCTGACACTGAAGAATTGCGAGGTTTGGAAAGCGTGATTAAAAACACTCATCATTTACAATTATTCCTCTTCGCGCTTACAACATTTGGGAACGCAGGGCACCACCGCCAGGCCGCGATCTCTGCCTCCCCCCCGCGGGCTGACTTGGTCCGGCCCGCGGCCCTCCCCCTGCCCGGCCCGGATGGTCCCGCCCAGGCCGGGGCCCGCTCCCCGGTGCGCGGCGGGAACATGGCGGCGCCCGCGGCGGCGTGGGCTGTGCCGCGGGACCGGCTGGATGCGCCGCGGGACCGGCTGGATGCGCCGCGGGACCGGCTGGATGTGCCGTGCAGCGGGCTGGACGCGCCCTGGAACCGGCTGGACGTGCCCTGGCCCACGAGCAGCTACACGGTGGCGCTGGAGGCCGACCACCCCGCAGGTCCCGGCGCTGTGCCGAGAGGGGCTGGGGGGGCGGTGGGTGCCGGGGGCCGGGGTGCCGGGGCGGCGGCGGGCCCTGAGGCGCTGCCCGGCGCTGAGGCCGTGCCCGGCTCCCCCGCAGTGGGACAGCTGTCGGCGCTGCGGCGGCGGTGCGACGCGGCAGGGAGGCGGCTGTCGGGGCCCGGGCTGTCCGCCGAGGGACGCGTCCTGCGCGCCCTGCTCTACGTGTTCCACAGCAGGCTGCTCCGCCACCGGCCCTACCTCGCCCTGCAGCAGGTGAGCGGCCGCTCTGTGCAGCCAGGGCCATTTCCACTTCTCCACCCATGTGTGGTGTCTTGTGCTCACGCTGAGGCCTGAGGGAGGTACAGTTACGTACCTTTGAATGCGTGAGTAATACACGGCCTTGGTTCTTAATGAATTGGAATAGTGGGAGGGGGGAAGAATAGCCCTAAACTGCTCTATTAGGTACTTGCTGGTTTAGCATGAAAAGTAAACTCCTTTCCGGTTTTCCAGGAAAGGGATTGTCAGTATCTTCAAATAATTGTTTTGAATCAGAGTAAGAATGGTCCTTACCTTCTTGGTTTGTTCACATGTTTTTGTTCTTGACAGCCAATACCAAAGGTGATTGTATACAGCAGGGGAAACCATGCAGCACCAATTAACCATGACCTACTCCAGTCCTTCTCTTAATTCCATTTTTACAGTAGAGTGATGAACGGCAGATGTAGGAATACCCTAGAACATTTCATGGCACAAACCTGCAGTTTGTGCTGCTAAACTGATAAAGGGAAGGTGTCATTTAACATAGTGATGGTTCTTAGACCAAGGCACTCCCACTCTCAAAATACCACTCAAAAGAGTTTTCTTTTTTCCTAGGTAGAACAATGTTTGAAGCGCCTATGGAAAATGAATTTGGTGGGCTGCCTTGGAACTCTGGTAGAACTGATTCCCAAGTAAGTGTTGTGATCCTGTATTTTATACTATCCATTAACTCAATCTGCAGAGCTATGGGAGGGGATGCTACATCCTAACCAACTCCTCATCCTTGTATCAACCCAGGAAAGATACGTCTGAAGCCCATGCAGAGTGCTTGGTTCCCAGCCAGCCCATGCTGGAAACAGTGGCTCTGAAGGTACTGGGAGGCTGCAAGCTCATACTCCGTCTGTTGGACTGTTGCAGTAAAACTTTTCTGTATCCTTTTTTAATCGTAAAAATATTCTTACAGTTCACTATTAGCACCTCGTAACATCCAAAACTAGGTCTGCTGGAGGCCCTGTATTGCTGATGGACTCAACTGTGTAATTCATACATACAACTTGAAGTTTGTTTGATAGCCAAACACCTTATTTTCAAGTTATTATGTAGGAACCTTAGGCTCTTGGCTGGCTGCTGTTCCAGCCTTGAGCATTTCAAAATTTGGATACTCATCTCCCAAATTATTCCAGGATATCGCCTTGCGAATTGCCTCTAGTTGGTGTGTTCAGCAAGTCTCATTACATGCTGTTTATTTTTTTATCCTTAACGGCTATAATCTTCAGCTTGTCCATTAAACATCTCTGCTCGAAGGAATTCATACTTCTGAACACGGTGGCTTTGGGGCTGTTGAGCCGACTATGGTTTGTGTGTTCAAAAGTCTGTCTTGTTTGTTTTCTGTCTGTTTGATGTGCCTGTCAGGGAGAAGGGCTTGTAATTAGGCCTTGCTGCTAAGTGAGATTCATTCATTTGGGAGGAGGAAGAGAGGGTGTCTCTCCATTCTTTCGGACTTGACTGTAGCACCTGAAGAGTTGTACAAGTGGAGAGAGATTTCTTACATGCTTTTATGAAAGGCTTTGTTCTTGGATCATAGCAAACTTTATGCAGCACTAATGAAATCACAGTGTTAGTGCCAGCCTGACACAAACACTGACACGTGGTACTCTGTGCAGCAAGCAGTAAGTCCTGCCTCATGCTGAAATGGAAAGGCTGGGATAAACATGTCCTACAACACTGCTGAGTTTTCCAGGGAAGCTGGTGTTCTGGTCTCTCTCGGTACAGGAAAATAAGTGGTGTCTGTAGCTGAAGGACTAACATCATTGTGTAGAAGAACTCAGTAAAATGTTCTTTGGCACAAGAAATCTGTATCTTCGGGAAACACAGAGCAGGCAATTGTATGGCATCAGCCTAGTTGGTACAGGGTGCTTTTGGGGAAAGACCTCATGGCAAATGATTTGGATGTGACTTGAAAACATGATGAGACCCAGGTGTGGCACTCAGCAGAACTCTAGGGAAGCAGAGGCATCCTGATTGGGAATTTACTAGTCAAGTCACTCCTACATTCCAATCCTTAATGGTTCCTTAAGGCTCAGACTTAAGGAAAGAAGGGTGATGGAGTGTAAAAAGCTAAACTTGCACTGAGGGAAAATAGGGAGAGGGCAGCTTGGAATCTCTTCTGTTTGAGATTAAGGTAGTTGTTCAGTGGGCATAAAGTTCTCCTAGAGGAGACTTCATACTTTTTGTTTTCTCTCTTCAGGATTCAGTACAGGCGTGTATTGCAGACCCTCATGTCCTTGTATGACGTCTTGTCAACAACACTTCATCTGGTATCTGAGACCCAACAGATGCCTTATATCAAGGGATTTCCCTTCCCTTCTGATATCAGTAACTTCCTTGGAGTTAACCTATCTTCTGAGATGAAGAAGCAAGAGGCTAAAATGCTTACAACAAAAAAATCTACCAGCTGGCTGAAGAAGCTCTTCCCAACAATGCCAGAGTCAGTGTCGGAGGTTGGGAAAAAGAGAAATTTTGTAACCTGTACAAGTGACGTGACAAACCATAGCATCCCCTGCCCCATGGACATCGGAGAGACAGTTCTGGTGCCCAGAGGCAGCAGAGGTAAAGCCTTGTGCCACAGTGCAAATGGTTTCTGACATCTCAGAGATTGACCACAGCTGTTGTCCAACAGAGCCAAGCACTTCTACCAGTGCGTGGTTCTAGTGCAAGCTCCCCTCCTCTGTCCTTAGGAGAAGAGAATGCTGCATGTACCTTGCCTTTATAAAGCTGTGGATAATGTCAGCATTGTGATTTTTTGGGGAGGTTTGTTTTAAAGATGATACAACCTGGAGAGAAGCAGATAATGAATGCAGTATACAGATCCTGAAAATAGTTATTTTTACTTTCCTCCTCCTGCATAGATAAGGACAGTGAGAAGCTAAGAACACTGTCTACAGTCCATACAAGAGTAGGCAAGGCTGTAAGTACAGGGTGCAGGTATCCTGTGATTGCTAGTTCTGTACTGTGCCCAAGACTTTCTCTGCACTGAGGGCTATGGCCAGTGACTGCAGGCATCCAGGTGTTTGTGTGAAGCTTTTACCCACTAAGTTTCTGCAGACATCTGTTAATCTCTGCATCCTCTTCATCCCTTGCCAGCTGCAGTGCAAGATGAGTGTAGTCCCCTTGAGCTGCCTGGAAATGCTGAGTACAGGTGTGAGCCTGCTGAGAGCTCAGTGTGGCAAAGCACTGCAACACCTCTGTGCAACAAAGACATAAAACTGTCTCAACACTGTAATGGGAAATCTCCTCTCTCTCTGTAGGGAAGCACCTGGGGATTGATATGAAGAGCTTGCTTAAGCCATCCAGACATCCAGCACAAGAGGTTTGTATAGTATCTTTTTACACATTAGTTTTCAATTTTAGAGACCTTAACACAATATCCCTGATTGAAAATGTCCCTTTCCCTGTAACAACCCAGGTTAGTGTGGAAGCTTTGCACAGAAAATATCTACTCATTTCTGCTTAGGAATTTGAGCATTTGTTGGTTTGTCAAGTGAACTGACCAGAGACCTCAGTAGTAGACAGGAATACAAATTCTAATTATCTTCTTTTTGTATTCCAAAAAAAAGTGCTCTTTCCCTTTCTTCTTGGGAAATAAGGAATGTTCTCACAAAATCCTCAGTATTCTGCCCCCCTCCACCAGAAAGGACCAGGCACATAATCTTTTTAAAAGACTAATATTTCTGTTATTGTTTCAGGGTATAAACGTGGCATCAACACCTTTTAAAGCAAAGTCAGCACCACCTTCCTCTCGTGTACCAAAGTCCCAGCATACTGAATCTCTTGTACAGATGGTCCAAACAGCTGCATCATTTGGGGAGCTGTCAGAGGCACTCAGAAAAGCTATTCTGTGGTGCAAAAACAATAAATTCAGATCAGAAGCTTATTTTCTGCGTAACAAGTTGTTGAAAAGCAACCGGCTGCACCACGTGGAGGCTCAAGGATGCAGGTAGTTCTTGCATGGTGTGGGTGTGGGATTTCTGGATGTAACACTTCACATTTTAATATCTATATTGCTACAGTATAGTGAAACACAGTGGTCTAAGCCATTCTTTTAAAACTCGGGATCACTAGTTCAGGTTAGTGGATGCTCTGATATAAGTGTTTTGCTTAGCATCAGTCACTTGTGAAAGGATGTAAAAGGCTAACAAATGCACAAATACATAACAAATGCAACTTAAATCATCTGCATGTTTAATGGTAACCGTTGTAGATGCAAGGGTTGTCTTCCTTCAGATTGCCTTGGCTACTATTGTACAAGGTGCTGTTATGTTTCCTTGGTATGACAAGGAAAACGATAAAGGCTAATAACCAAATCTCTCCAAACTCCAAATGAAGTAACACTTCAGTATCTTATAAAATTATGTTTTGTGCATCTTCCTCCCTTTAAAGCTTGAAGAGAAAACTGCGCAGTGTCAAAACATCTGTCCGTAAATACCTCTTGTATGGGCCCCAACGCACACGCTGGCCAAGGCAGTACCTCAGGGCGTGGCTCTGTCCAAGGAGGATCAAATCGTCTGCACACTTGAAGAGAGCTCTGAAGACTGTTCAGCAAAAGCCTGCTGAGCTTTCTGGGGTCTGTGACACAACTGCATCACTCATCCTCCCTGCCTACCAGGGTGGGCCTCTGAGTCAGAAGGAACGTTCTGATGCTGATACAGCCCATGTCGGACTAAGCACAGCAGGGACCCCTAAGCAGCTGCTGCTTGAAGGAAGCCCTGGCCCTGTGTGTAAAGAATCTGCTGAGAACATGGATATTGATTCTATTTTTGCAGCAATAGGTGTCTGACCCTGGATTGAAGGAAGTAATTCCCATTATTTTTTTATTTAAGTAAAACCCTCTGAACTCTAATGGTGCCTGAGTAACTCAAATCCTGAATTCTGCTAAGAAAGTAGCAACCATTTTATTATGTTTTTGTAAAACAGCTTTTTGTAATGGGTGGTTTTTTTATATTTTAAGAGTTCCAAACAGCTGAATAGTCTTCATCCTTTTACCTGGCCTTGTCCATGAGCAGTGACTTTGTTACCCTTACTCAGTGACCCTTCTCTATTGCTCGACCACACGTTAAGTGCTGCTGTCAAATCCACAGCACAATTAGTTACCATCCACAGCAGAAGGCTGCAGCTGATCACTGCTGCTTAGAGCAAACGACTTTCAGACACTTTTCCAAGTCTGTTACACCCTTCTTTCTGTGCTGCTTGTACAGGGGACAGCCTTGACATGCAGTATCATTGCTGTTTTCAGCATTTGTTACTTTTGTCCTGAAATGAAGAGTTAGCTGAACCTACTACTTTTCCAGAAATAGGGGAAAGCACAAGTCTGGGCTGCAACAGTAAACTCCTGTCTGATGAACATGTTTCTCACTGTCCCAAAATCTTTTTAATATAAGTGCAGTTTTTGTCTGCTTGGCAGTGTAAGGTACAGGTAATCCACAGTGTTAGAACAAGCAATGGGCCGAGTAGTTTCTGCCAGGCTTTTGCTTGTAAATAATTCCCATGAGCATGATCACCAGGAAATAGTAAGGAAAAAAATTCTCAGAAGTAAGAACAGGAATCTGGTTTGGTAGAGAGCAACTGCTTAACAGGGATTAAGGAAAGGCTGTTAAGTGCAAGTAAATCAGGAAGGGGCTAAGTTCAATTTCTTAGGTTTAAGAGCAGAAGAAAATAAAAGAGCTGTGCCCACCAGGACAGAAATAAAAATAACCTTCCTAGCCCATTAAGTGCTAAAACCCCTCTATTGTGCACCTTGTGTGAATTGATCTATTTAGGTTTAGTTATAAGGAGTAGGCACAAACTTAAAATGTTTTATTCAAAGAGCATATACAGAGGAAAAAGCAGAACTTTTAGAGTAGTCTGGGCTTGAAGCCCATGTCCAGATAAACCAAGATCCATTTTCTGGGTTTCCTCTCACAGGAGTACCCAGTGATAACTGAAATAGTTGTAGAGAATCATGGATCATCAGCCCTCTAGCCATCTGATACAACAAAGGCCTACTTCAAACAGACTTACTGCCATTACAGGAATTTTTCATTTTCTTAAATGGTATAAAAATACCTAAGTATACCACATACAATCAGATAACATTTCAGCTGCTTGAATAGTTCTCAGAAAAAACTGGGAGTGAGGGCAGACACCCCAGCAGTGACCTCCATCCTGAATAACCCCTCCGAACACCACACATGATCTTCCTTCTTACTGGGCAGCTGCCATTGCTTGGGCAGCCCAAGTGAAGCTCCAGTGCAGCTTGTGCACAGAATCAAGATCCGTAGTTTGCTTCATCGAAGGCCTTTCTGGCTCTTTTCAGTTCTTCATTCATAGTAAGGAGGTCTTTAACCCTGGCAAACTTCCGGGGGTCCTTGCGAATTAGAAAGACAATGTCCTCGACCTGTACACGGCCTTGCCGCCCGATCGACATGGCCTTGTGTGTCTGCCAGAGAGAAAAAAGGAAAGTCAACAGGGTTCCTTTTTTAAAGCTCTCAATTCCACTTTATTTCCTCTAATTTTATAAAAAAGTAAGCAACTGCAGGACCTGGGCACCATCATCCTAGTCACAAGAGAACTTGCCAGTAAACCATGGACTCACTGTTGTTCTGCTGTCCCCAGCTCCCTGTCACTTACATCTACCACTTACCAATATATATACACCACATAATGGTATCAAAACTAAAGCTAGATTACAAGTAGGATGCCCAGCCTGCAAAAAGCCTGAAGATCAGGCACAACTTGGAAACAATGTGAGGTAACCCTCTCAGAGGACAGTGTAGGGTATTTTGATATAGGAAAGGCAAGGGCAGCCTTTCAAAAGAAAGGGGAATACTTGGATACTTTTTTAAAAGAGTATCCAAATACCTGGAAGAATAATGGCTTCAGGCTCTAGAATACATTTCTTTTGTAGCAGAGCTACTTTCCCATCCATGTAAAGACACTGGGTCAACACAAAAAGTCGACAGATTTTCAAAGCTGAGCCTTGCCTTCTGTCAGCTGCACATACAGTGATGCCACAGTGAGCCCCAAAGGCAGATGTGAATTTCCCCTCCTACAATACTAATCTAACCTCTACTTAAGGACTTCAGACAGCGTTCTAAATCCACATGGAGCAAGATGCATGAATTTTGCCTTTCTCTTGGAAAAGCAAAATCCAAGTTTAGCTTTCTCCTACTAGCACCATGAGTTTGGGGCCTGGGATAATGAAGTATTTTGAGTCAGAGGTATTATTCAGAAGTCCTTGTGAGGATGTTTTGACCATGCTGTCTAGAGCTGACTTACCATTTCTGTGATAAACTCTATTACCAGGTCCTCAAGAATGTCCACGGATTCTGTGTAAGGGTTCTGGTCGTCCCCGAATCCATACATCATGCATCTTACTGCACAAAGAAACACTCAGTGTGAGGCTCCTTTCACCCATTCAGTAGTGTCAGCAGCACACACCTAGGTAGAGCTCACCAGCCTGCACGTTCCTGCTCCAGGTGGTGCAGGAATGTAACTAGTCCGTTAGACAGGGCAATTCTTGAGCAAACATACAGGAAATAAACAGAAGCCAACAAAAGCCAAGGCTGTACATACAGAAAAGCACATCTGATGACGAGCTCTTTCAATACTAATTTAGCCTGCGAAGTGCTGCACACTGACCTACAGCATAACCGACTGTGGGCATAGCTCGGGTCAGAGGATGCACCAGCAGTATTTTAGGGGGGCCTACATGACAGCTTTCTGCACTTGCAGCCTGGGCACAGAACGAAAGCCGCTTTGCTAAGGAGAAGTGAGTTTAGGAATTCCATAGGAGTCAGCTCAGAGTTTCAGCTGAGTGACCCGTCCGGGCTGGGCTGTCCGGCCCGGCTCGACTCACGTTCTTTGGAGAACAGTCTCTTCCTCCTGCCCTGCCCGCCGTCCAGGCCCCCGCCGGCGTCCTCCGCGTCCTCTTCGAACTGCAGAGGCACAGCGGGGAGAGGCCGCGGTCAGCGCCGCCGGGACCCGGCCCCTGCCCGCTGCACCCCGCCCGCGGCCGGCATGGGATGGGGACCACCGGGAACTGCAGCCCCTCCCGCCACTCACCGGCACGTCCTCCTCCTCATCGGCCATGGCTGCCGGGCTGCGCCGGAAGGGATTCCTGTTCCTCTTCCCCTTGCCCGGCCCCGCCCGGCCGAGCCCGCCCAGCTGTGGAGGGCGGGCAGGGGCGGCGCTGCCGGGCGGGCGGTGCTGGCTGGAGCGGCAACAACGATTTACTGCGACAGATCTGGTGACCCTCCCCAAATCTCTAGTCGACGCTCATTATTGACTTGTCAGATCAGGATATCGTGGGCTGAAAGCGAACTCGGGAGGTGCCTGGTCCATTTCCCTGCCTCAAAGAGGGTCAGCCATGGTATTGGAAAGGTCTTTTCTTGGTTTGCCTGTGTGGTTCGCAGAGGCTTTTCCTTCCCTTGAGCAAGATGCACTTGGCCCTGTTCATAGAATGTTAATGGGTTGGAAGGGACCTTAAAGGAAGGTTGGAAGGACCTTAAAGATCATCTTGTTCCAACGCCCCTGCCATGGGCAGGAATACCTCCCAGCAGACCAGGTAGCTCAATGCCCCATCCAACCTGACCTTGATCAGTTCTTAACCCAGCAGAGTGCCCTGACCAAGCCAGGGGCTGCCCACTTTTCTAGGAGTATGCTCTGCAGCACTGTACCAAAGACTTGGCTGAAGTCCAGGTGGACCACATCCACAGCCTTCCCCTCATCCACCAGGTGGGTCACCTGCTCATAAAAGATCGAGTTGGTCAGGCAAGACCTACCTCTCCTAAACCCATGCTGGCTGGGTCTGATCCCCAGCCACCCTCTAGGTGCTGTGTGATTGCACTCAAGATGATCTTTTCCATAACTCTGGCAGGTACTGAGGTCATGCTGGCAGGCCTTTAGTTTCCCAGATCCTCCTTCCAGCCCTTCTTAGGGATGGGCCAAACCCCAGTCTTCTGGGACCTCCCCACTGAGGCAGGACTGGTGATAAATGATGGAGAGTGACTTAGCAAGCTCTTCCACCAGCTCCCTCATCACCCTAGGATGAATCCCATCTGGGCCCATAGACTTGTGAAGATCCAAGTGGCTCAGCAGGTCACTGCTTCCTCCTTGATTACAGAGGAGGTATTCTGCTCCCTGCCCCTGTCCACCAGCTCCAGAGGCCAGCTGTCCTGAGGATGATCTGTCTTATTGTTGAAAACTGAGGCAAAGAAGGTGTTAAGTACCTCAGCTGTCTTTGGTAAAACTGTATTCTCCCCTCATGTCCAATAAAGAATGGAGGTTTTCCTTGCCCCTCTTTTTGCTAATAATGTATTTACAAAAATACCTTTTATTATTCTTTACAGAAGTGGCCAGATTAAGTTCTAATTGAGCTTTCACCTTTCTAATTTCTTTCTGCATGACCTAATGACATCCTTAAACACTTCCTGAGTTGCCTGCCCCTTTCTCCTAGCATTGTAAGGGGTTTTGTTCTGAAGAGGGACTAAAACCAGAACCGCACTTTTTTACACATACAGGGTTATTTTCAGAGGCTCTCCAGTCAATAGGTGAGGCCTTGAAAATGACAGCCATGACAAGACTGACGCTTTTTAAAAATCCTGTTTTTAAGATACTAAGAAAGAATTTTTCCTGAAGTGTTCACTTTCACCTGTTCCATCTGTCTAGACACTACTGCACTTCCCCTAGGATCATGCATCCCCTGGGCTGGTTTGCTCTGTAGCATTTTGGGATTAGAGGTAAAATATTAAGAGATTTAAAGGTTTGATTACTGTTAAAATGCAGAAGCTAGAGAGCCATGTCTTTCCACTGAATTTATCACATTCCCCACTTCTTACATGAGTGTTGAAAACAAACCTCACCTCAGCATCTAGTCTGAGAGTTACAAGAAGTTGCATAATGAAAGGGCTATAAATGTCACCTTTTCACCCTCAGAGTGGTTTACAAAAAACTGTCATGAGGTTTAAACACTTAATGTAAGTAACTTTGACAACTGCACACTCATATTTGGCCACATCAAGACATGACAAGGTCTGAGTGCCAGAGTTCGACAAAGGCACTTAATGTCTTCAGTCTAAGTTCTCCTGCATGACTGCTGCTATTGACATCTCTCCTTTTGTCTGACTCTGTACCTTGTAACTGCACAGTTTCAGGTGCTCTTAGCCAGGCACAGCTGGTGTGGCACACAGTTCTCCGAGCTGCTACAGTATGCTTAAAGAGTATGGGACACATCAGTACTGTGCTTAAGCTGCCAGGGTAGAACAGATGCAGATAATGGACGACAGGTCTCAGACCTCGCAATTCATCCGAGTGCAGCTGCAGAACTTATGCTGGATCGAGAACAGAGGGTAAATGCAGCACTGACTGATGATAATGTACAGAAGAAGAGGGTTCCTCTAGATGTCAGTCTTTCATTCCACTGTTTCAAGCCAACAGTGATCGAAAAGTGGACCCCACTGAAGATGTGTCCTTTCCTTCACACAGGGACAACTCGATGTATGCAAGCAAGGCGTGCGATTTCGCTGCACCTACTGAATGCAGAACACAGAAACTTACAAAACTAAAACGTACAAGAAGTTAAACACACCTTCACAGGCAATATGTTGGCTATTTTCACTCTAGATGGCCTTAGAGCAGGAGGGTTGTACAAGTGGTAGCTTTTGGCTCCTGCTATCCTAACCCTAACCCTAGCTGAGAGAAGTAAACTTCTGTGTACCATTCAGTTCAACTGGGCAAGTACAGTTTACTTAATGTTAGGACTATAGTTTTTCTGTTCTAAACTAAATGCCTCTTTATTATTACTAGACTACCTCTATATCCTAATGATAGTGGAATTTAGGCATGCAGTGGTATCTTTTTGAACATTTCAGTGGAGGGAGAGGAACTGCTGCATTAAAACTTTGATTCTGTTTGGAAGTTCTCTGCATAATCATCTAGGTTTCATAAAAGAGTTTTATAGCAACCTGGATTCACTCACACTGCAAACTTCCTGAACTGACAAACTCAATAAGCGAAAAGCTTAGTTTTACATATATTAATTTATCCTAAATAATTTATAGTACATTGGGTTATTTACAACAAAAAAAACACAGACCTTTTGTTCCGGATGAGCTGAGCAGATCAGGAGTCAGTCTTTTCAGCTGGTCTCTACAGTAGGTAGGTTTCCAGTAACATGGGCTACAAAACACCTTAGCAAGTGAACTCCTGAAAACTCCACAGAACTGTGGAAACAGAGGCATGGATGTTTAGTGCCAGATACTGCTGTGCCTTTGAGTAATACAAGCAAACAGCCTCTGGCTGTGTTCAATTACATCTCCCACAGTGCAGGACACCTTGGTATGAGCCTCGAGTTGGACTCCCTAATGCAACAATTACAGCTGCTATTGTTACCACAACTCCAAATAGAATGGCAAAGCCTGCTAACATCCAGCACCAGGACTGCTGCCCACCTCCAAGAAAAGCCAAAGGAAGAAGCAACCTTGAAAACAACTCTGCAGAGGAGGGGGAAGAAGAAAAGGGATGTTTCCCTATCAGCAGCCCACCCTCCATCCTTGATGCATAGAGAGGGGCTGCCTCTAAAGTGGACAAACTCATTTCAGCTTAGCTTGCCCTACTGAATTTATCACCCATAAGGAAACAGCAGCAGGGCAGCAGAGCTTTACCTGACCAGGAACAGTTGAGGAAAGCATCCCTGAGTCTTCTCCTTGACAAACTCCTGGATCCCCAGTACATTCCTTAACAACAGTCCCCGGGGAGCTCGGTCAATTTTGGTTAACACCATCTGCATGGATCCAGAAAGGGAGGATTAAAAGAGGAAAATAAGATTATTTTACTGCTAGTCTGGAACATCTGTAAGAGTTCTGGACCATCCTGCAAGGCAGACTGAAAACTCTGGGTCACATCTAGGGGGAAAAAATTGTCTAACACAGTTCACCAAAACACTTCTATAGCCTGCATAAAGAGCAGGCATTTTCAAGCTCCTCAAGCTGAGCACTGAAAAAAAAAAAAAAGTATTCATTTAATAAACAAAGCAAAAAAACCCCTTAAATCCCACTTGCCTCACTCAATACATTTTAGGCATATTTTATTAACAATTAAGGGGGTGGGCTTACTGCCTGGATAAAACAACCTACATAAGCTCAAGTAGAGGGTACACCCCCTTACAGATTACCCATACTTTATAACCAACCCAAGAAAGCAGCATTACCTACCACATAAGGAATCCCAAACTCTTCCAGCATCTCCACTGCAATATGATCTGTTTTCTGGAGTCCAACTACACCATCAACTAAAAGAAAAGTCCTCTTCAAGCTGCCAGAAAGACAAGCAACAGTAATTGCCACCATTATTTCATGCCCACTCTGCTACTTCCAAATTCAAGAGGAGAAACAAAAACGTGGGATCTGGGAAGAGTCAAGAAAAGCCATGCATGCAAGATGAAGGTCAGCATGGAGCAGCACCTCAGTCTTTTCTGCTGTTTTGATCTGATCATGAGTGAATGACACTGCGGAAGCTCCCCAGGAAATTATGTCAGAAATAACCAATACTACCCTGGAAGCACCTACCCCTCTTCATTTTTTCACCTAATTACATGACACCGTATATAGGCATCTGGCTTTCACTGCTGTGGAGGTACAGCTAAGTCCCTTACTTGCGCCGTTCCTGCAGATAGGCCTCCACCATCTCCACAAAGTCTTGCGGGGCACGGTAGCCGTATCCTGGCATATCCACCAGAGTAAAGTACTTCCCTACTTTGAAGAAATTCATCTTCTTGGTGTGGCCCTGAGAAGAGGATTTAGGCAAGATGAGGGAAGGCAGTGGTTTTAAAAAGCTGCTCTAAGAAGTGTACTAAGAGATGCCCCACAAAATGTCTCTATTCCATGTCCCTGCCACCCCAAAATGCTACTGTTGCTTTAAGCTGCCCAGTCTCCTACTCTTGTAGCAATCCTACATGGCTCTATCCATAAAACAGACTAAAAATACCTTCACGGGTGTTTCAGCTTCTTCTCAAAGGACTTAACAGCACATCTGCTCAAGCTGTGCAGCTCCTCTGTCTGGCACACGTGCCAGGCCTGGCTGAAGAGCTAAACTGGGCTCTTTCTGCCTCTTCCTGACATTGCCAGCCGTGAGCTCGTGGCCACCACAGCTGGCACATTCTCCTGCTGCTTCAGGTTACCCAGGAGCTTGTCCCTTCCCACCCTTCTCAGCCCTACTCTCTGGCCTGGCACCAGTTTCTGACAAAGACGGAACGAAGTTAAAAAAGTCACTCACCGGAGTTTTTGACACTCTGACCTCCACTTCTGGAGCCAGTGAAAACAAGGCCCGGATTAAAGATGATTTCCCCACATTGCTTCGGCCAATGAAGCACACCTACACAGGCAGAGAGGGCACATCGACACCTGCCTTCCATGTGCCGGGACAAGGGATACCCTCTCCCAATACAGCCAGTCCTGGCCATTTCCCAGCCCTTGGTGCCAGTGCCTGGGGACAGCAGTGTGCTGTGCCACGAGCACGCCAGGCCGCTGGGCTGCACAACGGGGAGCAACAACAAATAAACTACTTTAAAGCAGCAGCAGCAGTAAATGCAGCACGCACTGTGCGCTGTGCTCTGACCCTGCCGCCCCCAGAGCTACACAGCCAGTGCCAGCACCCTTTGGCCCAGCAGCTCAGCCCGGCCCAGGGCGGAGGGGTCCCAGCCGGGGCGGGGGCAGCGCAGCGCTGACCTCGGGCAGGGCGGGCGGCGGGGCGTGCTCCATGCGGACCGCGGAGCTCACGTAGTCGATGGGGTGGCCCGGGCCGGACCTGAAGAGCTCCTCGGCGCGCTGCAGGGCGCCCAGCTCGGGCTCGAAGATGTGGAACCCCGCCGTGTCGGTGCCGGGCGCCAGGTACCGCTCCAGCTTCTGCAGCGGGAACATGATCCCGGTGCGGCGGCTCCGCTCCAGCCGCAGCACCCGGGACAGGGCGGCGAGCGCCGGCGGGGCCCGGCCCGCCACACCGCCCACCCGAGGCAGCAGCATCCCGGCAGCTGCAGGACGGACCCGGCCGGGCCCGGAAGGCGGTGGGCGGGACAGCGGGATAGCGGGGCGGGATAATGGGGCGGGGCGATAGCTTGCGTGCCCCCGCCCGGCCCGGTGTTGTCAGGGCCCGGCTCGGCGGCGGATGCGCTGGGTTGGAAGGGATCCTCAAGAACCATGGAATCCAGCTCCTGGCCCTGCACAGGACAGCCTCAAGAATCGCACCATGTGCCCGAGAGCATTGTCCAAGCGCTTTTCATCTCTATCAGGCTTGATGCTGTGATCACTTCCCTGGAGAGCCTGTTCCAGTGCCCAGCCACCCTCTGGGTGAAAACTCTTTATGATATCCAACCTAAACCTCTCCTGACACAACTTCAAGCCATTCCCATGGATCCTGCCACTGGTTACCCCAGAGATCTGTGCCAACCACTCCACTTCCCCTCATGGGGATGTTGAAGACCGAGGTCTCCCCTCAGTCTCCTTCAGGCTGAACAGAACAAGTGACCTCAGCTACTCTTTGTATGGCTTCCCCTCCAGACCCTCCACCATCTTCACTGCCCTCCTTCGGACACTCTCTAATAGCTTTATATTCTTATATTGTGGTGCCCAAAACTGCTCACAATATTCAAGGTGAG